TATCAATAATATAAAGTTGTGTGCTGTTGGTATCAATAATATAAAGTTTTGTGTGACCTTTTGTATACTGCTAATGTGTACTACTGTTGGTATCAATAATATAAAGTTGTGACCTTTTGTGTACTACTGTTGGTATCAATAATATAAAGTTGTTTGTGACCTTTTGTGTACTACTGTTGGTATCAATAATATAAAGTTTTGACCTTTTGTGTACTACTGTTGGTATCAATAATATCAAGTTGTGTGTGACCTTTTGTGTACTACTGTTGATATCAATAATATAAAGTTTTGTGTGACCTTTTGTGTACTACTGTTGGTATCAATAATATAAAGTTGTGACCTTTTGTGTACTACTGTTGGTATCAATAATATAAAGTTGTTTGTGACCTTTTGTGTACTACTGTTGATATCAATAATATAAAGTGACCTTTTGTGTACTACTGTTGATATCAATAATATAAAGTTTTGTGTGACCTTTTGTGTACTACTGTTGATATCAATAATATAAAGTTGTGACCTTTTGTGTACTACTGTTGGTATCAATAATATAAAGTTGTGACCTTTTGTGTACTACTGTTAATATCAATAATATAAAGTTGTGACCTTTTGTGTACTACTGTTGATATCAATAATATAAAGTTGTGTGTGACCTTTTGTGTACTACTGTTGATATCAATAATATAAAGTTGTGTGTGACCTTTTGTGTACTACTGTTGATATCAATAATATAAAGTTGTGACCTTTTGTGTACTACTGTTGATATCAATAATATAAAGTTGTGTGTGACCTTTTGTATAGTACTTTTGTGTACTACTGTTGATATCAATAATATAAAGTTGTGACCTTTTGTGTACTACTGTTGATATCAATAATATAAAGTTGTGACCTTTTGTGTACTACTGTTGATATGAATAATATAAAGTTGTTTGTGACCTTTTGTGTACTACTGTTGGTATCAATAATATAAAGTTGTGACATTTTGTGTACTAATGTTAGTATCAATAATATAAAGTTGTGACCTTTTGTATACTACTGTTGATATCAATAATATAAAGTTGTGACCTTTTGTGTACTACTGTTGGTATCAATAATATAAAGCTGTGAGAGTAAATGACAGCTTGATGTTCACTCCGGACACTATTCACACCGAAACATGGGCAATGCGTAAAATCGTGAATTCTGCACATGCAATCACGGGTATTGCCAATACAGGCGAGTTTTCATGGAGACGTGACCTATATAAAATGGTCCGTCCCCAAATCATTCAGTCATTGAAAGTAGCGCGAATAATGCTCATATAACACGATGCCACGATTAATTGCAGAGAGGAATGGCACTTGGAAGTTTGCAGGCGGGTACCTTGTAACTATTGTAGTCATGGCAGCACTATCACCAGGCTTGCTGGACGCTTCCAACATACAGGTTTTGTTTCTGATCGTCCCCAGACGGCGAGATTTACGGTGGCAACTCGGGCCCAAGATCGCTACATCCGGGTAACTCACCTTCGTAACCGGATCCAATTTACAACCAGAACAGCAGATGCCATCAGAGTTAGAAGACGCCCAGTGTCCACCGAGACCGTCCGGCGTCGCCTACGTGAACATTGCATTAACTGCCGACGTCCTTACGTAGGGCCTATTTTCACTCAGTGCTATCGACAGCAACGTCTTCAATGGGCAAATCACCATCAACGATGGCGTCTTGCTGACTGGTGACGAATTCTCTTAGACGAGTCTCGATTCCATCTTGCCCATGCTGATGTCCGACTGCGTGTGGGGCGTCAACGTAACGAACGTTACGCCGATTATTGTGTCCAACAGGCTAACAGATGGATGGCAGCAGTATGATGGTATGGGGATTCTTCAGTTGCCACCATCGGACAGGACTGGTGTACAGGGATGACGTTCTCCGGCCTTAAGTCGTTCCCTTGTTTGTTGCACAGTCGCAACTACGGTTTTGCGAGCAGGACAACGACCGTTCCCACACTGCTCCAGTACCTATGGGTTTGCTAGCACAGAATAATGTGACTGTCTTCCCTTGGCCGTCTCTTTCACTGGACTGTAGGAGTGGATTCAATACAGTAATATTTTTCCGTAGTCAAACATTCTCAGTCCCTGATCAATAAAACGGATCATTCCCACACAGCAAAATCCTATCATTAACTGAAAATTCCAAACAATTCTCGGACGCAACGTACGTTTGTGTAAGTACATTCCACACCTGTGACCGTGTAGTCAATAAAAAGGTCACACTCTAATCTTCTACTGGTTGTGTTATAAGATGAAGGTGACCGTGTAGTCATCAGAACGTCACACTCTAATCTTCTCTTGGTTGTGTTATAAGATGAAGGTGACCGTGTAGTCATCAAAACGTCACACTCTTATCTTATACCGGTAGTGTTATAAGATGAAGGTGACCGTGTAGTCATCAGAACGTCACACTCTAATCTACTGGTTGTGTTATAAGATGAAGGTGACCGTGTAGTCATCAAAACGTCACATTCTAATCTTCTACTGGTTGTGTTATAAGATGAAGGTGACCGTGTAGTCATCAAAACGTCACACTCTAATCTTCTACTTGTTGTGTTATATGATGGAAGTGACCGTGTAGTCATAAAAAAGTCACACTCTAATTTTCTACTGGTTGTGTTATAAAATGAAGGTGACCGTGTAGTCATTAGAACGTCACACTCTAATCTTCTACTGGTTGTTTTATAAGATGAAGGTGACCGTATAGTCATCAAAACGTCACACTCTAATCTTATACTGGTTGTGTTATGAGCACTTCTTTTCTCTTGATATTACCAAGCCGAATAAAATACTTTAAACAGAAAACTGTTCCGTGGAAAGTCCTTCATCTACTCTCATTATCTTTGTTTGCATCCCTTGTCAAAAGTCAATTTTCTGCCTTTCATCAGTTCAGCATCAACTTTGTTCCATTTTAGAATGGTTTGTGATAGCTAAGAGACCATGAGCCAAGGAACCGTCTTTGGATAAAGTTTGAAATGAGTGCATTAGACCGATACTTAGAATTCAAGGCCCGACAAAGCTTAGGAATAGACCTGATAGCTATATGAATTATTTGTAAGTTCTTTACCAGATGTTTTGACTTCGTTAAATGACGGTATTTGGTTGTATTGATCTCTTTTACGCCTAACAGCTGCATACGTGTTCAGATCTTCGAAATGAGGTACTGGTTTATTAAATGTTTAAAAAAAAAAAAATTAAACGTTGCTGCCTTCACCACCGTTTCAACTTAGTATACGAGTGAGTAACTCAAATACTACTTGAATGATATTGTAATTTAAACTGTATATTAAGATATAAAGTTATCACTTATCTATGTATGCCTGGTATAACGTGTATTGTAAGCTGGAGGAACAAGACGATATAGTTTATCAACATTTATATATAAATGAATGGCATTCGGTATATGATTTAACATTCATAAATACCAGTAGTATTAAATATTAATTGAAATAGATGAATGAATGGCTTATTTGACCCATGACCTTTGGTGACCTGTATATTCTGTGGGAACGTCATACATCCGTAGTGCTATAAACTAACACGCTCACTTCAGGCGTATTTTCGTAAATTATTTTACCAATATTTTGAGACTTTCCTTGCAACTGTTATCATCACACATAACTAATGATATACATTGTTTCTCAAAATAAGAATCACAACCGCCTTAACCGCTTAATATGATCGGATGGCGCAGCACTAACGCACTCGTCTTTCACGTAGCCGTCCGGGGTTCGATTCCTGGATCGGACGTGAAAATGTTTTGGGTCACCTGCCCGACCACATGGGTGTTCCCTGGGTATTTTTCTGTTTCCACCATAATAAGACCTCCCGCAAACTTCATCCGGGGAAACAAGAACGATTTATATCAGCTGATAGCTTGTTTCGCAATTGTTGTTAAACATATAAAGTTTATATTTAATGTAATATTTTCGAATGCTGATCGATGTCACATGACGACGGTGCCCTCAATCATTACATGAAGATGTCACGTGATAGTCTAAGCGACAAACAATGGACACAAGATATCATTGACGTATTCCGTGATTTTGGGACAGAACCTATAGCCTCCATTACTTAGACAGATGCCCATCTCTACAAGTAAAAAAATCTGATGTTACCACAAGATACAAACTCGGTGGACATAAATCTGATCTATAAACGTCGATTCACTTCGATTTTTTTCCCATTTTTTTAACATTGAAGTCAGTAGATCACGGAATAGGAAATGTATCTGCCAGGATCTTTAATTGTGGAAAAGAACAAGTTTGTGTCGTTTCTTCCATTAAAAAATCCTCTTTATATCATGAATATGTTAATGTTAGCATGGCCTTAAATCGTTGCGGTGACAAACGAGAACATTATCCTAGTGTACTTAGACAGAAGGTGAAATCAATGTGAATGTTAATTTCATCTAGGTTCCTATCATCCAGAATACTAAATACTTGTTATTAAAGCCTAACAAATTCTATTTTAGCGCATTCGAATAGTTTATACCTGTCAAATTGATAGTGTGATATATTCCAAAGTTTTTAATATAAATCATATGTTAGTGGTTAATTTAAACACATATATCCACATGTATCGAAAACAATTGAATTGATTCTGACGAGATATCAATCTATATTTAAAGCTGACAAGAATATTGGCAAGCAAAGTTTACATCGGTAACTAATATCAGAACCACATGTGTTTACGCTGTACGCTTCTTGTCTCCCTGTATTGATAGCGACTGAATTGTTAGGTTAGGCTGTGTCTGAACCCGTTCAAACACGATCGCTGCAGTAATCTAAATATAGATATGACCACCACAGAAAGATATAAAAGCCTCGCAATCGCCTGCTTTACTCCAGTTCGCCGTTGAGACGATACCCGAACACGGCAAGAGTTAAGGAGACGAAAAACTTGTTAACAAACCAACTGCTTTACTCACACAATATACCTAAAAGGTGCGAGGAAACCAGCAACACAAACATGAAAATAACTGTAATACATCCTGATTCAAAACAAAGACGAATTCGCTTTAGTGAGGTAAATATGTTTATGTAAATTTTATTGATAATGCCAACAGTTCATTCATTGATTTTGATATAAAAAGAACATTAATTTCTTTATGACCACTGTCAAATAACAGTGTACAGGTATTAATCGAAACAAAAACAAATATTTTTATGTTAAACAAGATGACAGATCACATCCAATATTTAACGCTGGTTACCAATGTATTTAGTAATCTTTTTTTATTCTTATTTATTAATCAATTCGTTCATTCTATTTAAGAAAAAAATATTTTATGTCTCTTTAGATGTCAATTTCCAACCATAATTCTTGAAAGTTTTCGAATTAGCAATTTATTAAACTAGATGTCTGTACTGAGATTAGATTGATCCTTTCAAAATACACATTATACTTTTATACTTAAAATAATACTTTTACATTTGGATGTTTGTATCGATTTTTTTTTAAAAAGATATCAAAAGTAAACGAAGACAAATAACCAAGATTTATGAATGTTCTGTTCTTTAAGCGAGGTGTAGGCTACACCATTAGAAGTAAGATATTAAGCCGATGTCTATTTTTCACAAATGCCCATTACCTAAGATGTTCATTTGTGTGGTTAATCCCTGGTGGTAGACACTTCTAGCGGACTAGTCCAAAGAATTGTCGTAACCTGTATAGTTAATATAGATGGCTCGATTCAAGATATGCCTATGTATTTGACATTTTTAAAAACTATTCAGTACGGAAATTCATGGTATTGTCATACATTTGAGGCAAGTGCACCTTCCTATCCAGTCATTACTGACGAGACCTAATTGAATTGTAAAAGTACACGAGCTCACTTATCAATGAACAAATATCTTCGATTTTTTTGGGTCGTATGTTTTGCTGATACTGATAACAAATAATGATTTCAATCGTTTCATTTTTACCATTACAGAGACATACAACAAAGGTGTCGACACTGTTTAAAAGACTACCACGAGATGTGGTTATAAAACGGCAAGGGCAGACAATTAACATCAGCAAGGAGTGCTTGATCAGAGAGGCTTTTATTGATGGTGACATAATAGAAGCCGTGTACACACCCGTGCCGGAGACTAGACGACTATGGAAATGTATCAAAAGGTCAAATGACCAATGTATGATCACACTGGACAAAGATGAGCAAAGGGCCGAAATGCCATGCGGACATGCAATCAGTAAGTGCTAACAATTCTTCAGAATGTATAGATCAATACAGGAATGTAGATTTCCGATATAAATCAGATCTTGCCAGTAACAAAGTTTAGATGTCTAGATAAGTTGTATTAGTCAGTCTGATGACAAATTACATTTAACCTCTTCTTAATACAAGGAAACGTGTCACACAAATAATTAACACTACGGTAAGGAAACCTGAAAAACAAATTATTTACATTACGACAAGGAAACCTGAAAAACAAATTATTTACATTACGACAAGGAAACATATCACACAAAGTATTTACATTACAGCAATAACTTAGAAAATTAAATTTTCGTTCTATTGATACCATGTCTTTGTTCTTGTTTATATTACATCCACGTTTTGTTATCAATTAGCAGTTTTGAGATTCGATAACGAAATTTACACTTTACATCGATAGCGCAGAAGAATCATTTTTATCCACGATATATTAAGTAATCATTTATTTGTAGAATACGATATCCGGTTTTGTAGTGACAATTTGTGTTTTGTTCCAGCACCCCAGGCGCTGTTCGATTACTGCTGGCACAAACTGGACCAAGGATGTTCTACAATCACGTGCCCCTACATTGCAGATATCAAGGGAAATGTGTGTGGATTCAAGTGGAGTTCTCGTGATGTCAAACTTTCCGCTGCGATGTCTAGAAGAGAAAAGATTTTGTTTCAAACTAGACTCGACAAAAACAGAATCAAACAGCAGGAACTAGAATCAACAAATGAATATCCAGATGCCGTCATGATATCTCTCCTCCATAACTCACCAAAACTGCAGCGTCACGGTGACGCTTTAATGCGCCGGGCCTGTCCTAAGTGCTGGAGTATTATTGAACATGTGTCCGGGTGTCTCTGTATGACTTGTCAGTACCCATCTTGTAACTTCCGGTTTTGTTTTAGATGTCTAGATGAATATGTCCTTGGAATAGATCACAGTAAATGCCACCGAGCACCTTTACAATTCTCATGCGATAAGTAGATATAAAGCTTATATTTTCAGATGAAATATTCTCATCTTGACCAACGTATCATTTCTGTACTAATGTTTCGCCATTTTACAAGTCAAGGCAGTATAACCTCCATCAACAAGTATACTGACCATCGTATTTTATTGCGATGTCGATGCACTGATTTCCTTACGTTAATTAAATAAATTTTGTAGATGCATTGATTTTATTTATCATATAGTGTTATACAAGTACCCAATCTGTATCCGGTTATACATGTCTCCGCTAGGGTTTATACACCCGTAACGTTTAGATGAACAGTTACTGTGATGGAATCAACTTTATTTGTTTTTGGCATTGTAAATGATCACAGACCTCATGAGAGGGTGAAAAACTGCAAAATACAGAATAATACAATGTGTCAAAAATTTAGGAGTAAATCTAAAATGTGCAGCTTGCAATTTAACATTTTATACTAATCACACTAATCACATCTATTAACTTTGAGTGGTTTCATATACATGCATATAAATATACTATGTAACCCCGTTACCGTAATCGGGGGAAAATAAATTTAGCATCTATGTCAACCTAATCTAAATTGTTAAACTAAATCCACTATTTTGAATTACACTTTGTTGAAAGAAACGAAATTATGATTAAATTTTCCAAGCATGTTATAAAAAATAAACGAGCAGTGTATGACGTACATACCGAATGGATTTGACCTGAAGATCTATTTTTAAATCTAGGTATCAATTATCACATTACAGTGTATTACTAATAAATTGAATTAAACTGGAATCAAATATTTGAGTATAAACTGATATCAGATAGGAATGATACAATAAACTTACACGATAGTTGCCTTAAGATGTTTTGATTATCATGAAGCATGCACGGTGCAACTATTTAACAAAAGAGTGGTAAGAAGGGAGATGACTCTTAATACAAACTGAAAGGGAAGGTAGCAAGACAGCACAGTAACACATTGTTGTATATAATCTGAAATTAAGAAAAATCCTAAATTGCCGAATATATGATATTACTAAATCTAAACCTGATCATTTAAAAACATTTCATAAAACCTAACCACATTAATGCCAGTGACAAGTAATGATGGAAATTTGTTCAGTCTACAAATGAAAAAAATTGAAATTTTGGTAATATACATGACGATTTAGACAAAAGCTATGTCTTCAATGCTTTCTTCAGTTCACAAGAAGTTATTGTTAACATATATGTTGCACTCCCTATCTATACGAATCTTATACACATTTTCTCCTGACATCCCGACACACACTACAATTATCTGATGGTCCTGATCTTGTTAACCATCGTCTAATCAGGAAAGCAGTCGATGTTCTTGTGAGTTTCACAACACACCATGTAAGAGGGTTTTTTTCACTACTGTATATGTATGTTAGATGTGTATATCTTAATTTACTTACATTGGTCAGATTAATGTTATTTTATAGATGTGTTTTTATTAGGAATATGTGTGTGTCACTTAAATAAAATCATCTTCACGTTGGGCAAAATGATTTGTGAGAGTATGGTATTTATATAATATAAGTGAAATATGTGTGTGTCAGTTAAATAAATCCGCTTCATGTTGAGTAAAAAGAGTATTGTATTTATATAATATAAGTGAAATATGTTTGTCTCAGTTAAATAAATCAGCTTCGTGTTGGGTAAAAAGAGTATTGTATTTATATTATATAAATGAAATGTATTCATAGATTTGAGACATGCCCAGCAGACATGAAATGACATGGACCGATTTGATTGGTTTGATTCCAACTTGATGGAAAATTAAGCATGATGATGGTGCTGGCGTTCGATTCTTTTTCAGCATAGTAGAGTTATAGTAGGGACAACATGAGGGTTCTGGAATGAAGGATTTTAGACAAAGTATTCAATGATTTGGAAACAGCTGATTTGATGGAAGAGTCACCCAAAAGTTATTCACTTTTGATAATAATGAGAGAACTCGCGGGCACAATTTCAAAATTGTTAAATGTCGTTGTAACACGGAACTTAGGAGAAACTATTTTACCTTTAGAGTTGTAGACACTTGGAATAATCTTCCCGTTCATATTGTTAATGCAAATTCAGTTAGACACTTTTGGATGAACACTTTCAAGATATAATTTATGATTATTGATAACTATGGCATGCGTTAACTTTTAAAAGCCATTGATACAATATGTATATTTATCATTGCATTTCAGATATGGATATAAAGGCTTAAAGCCTGCGTCCATAAATTTGTCATTAAATGTCATTAAATAAAAAGTTGTACTTGTAACGTTACCAATAACTAGTTGTACTTTTAACGTTACCAATAACTAGTTGTACTTTTAACGTTACCAATAACTAGTTGTACTTGTAACGTTACCAATAACTAGTTGTACTTGTAACGTTACCAATAACTAGTTTTATCACATAACCGACCTATTTTCCCATATCATATGCCCATGTCATAATAATGGTAATACACATGTGTAATAAAGGTTTGGGGTCTGCGATTGGTCAAAACCGTGTGAACGTATTCATACGCCCGCGCGCGTACTACTTTTATTTACTACAACAACAAACTGTAGTGAAATATGGCTGACCAGATCAAAATTGGCGACACAGTTTTTATTGATAAGAAGGGGACTGGTGTGGTGATCCCACGGGGTTTTGCTGTATTTTATAATGTTGAATTGTGTGGGGTTGACTTTCAAATTGAGCTTGAGCGCGATCGTATTGAAAAGGTGGTAGATCCCTCCCAAAAGCAGACGACCGCTCCGGATGGCGGTCCTGTTGCCCCTGAACCAAGTCGTTTCGTTTCAATCAGAGAAGATGAGGTAGGAAGTTTATAAAGGATCAATCAAACAAGAATACGTTGAGCAAAACTTTGTATGACATGAAACTTTTGTATAATTTTTTGAGTTACCAGAAATAAATGAAAAGCTATCATTGAAAGTGACAGTGACTCGCAGTAACTGGAGCAGTTAGGCAGAACCTGATGACCTAGTGATGACGAGGCGAGTGACGTCATGTTACCAATATCAAGTGAATTTCAAGATTTTTTTGCGTGATTTTTAAAAGTTATTTTGGCATTTAACAGAATTTAAATGCTTTACTTTGTCGATATTATTTTGGAACATAACAATCTCTTATTCAATCATTGAAAAAATGTACTATTTGCAACACGGATGGATAAAACTATGATTACTGTGCGTTGGTTTTGACCTATATAGAAATAGCTGATTGCATAGTGGAAGTAAATCGTAGTTTTCTGGCGATTTTTCCATTTAAATTGGTTATGTGATGAATAGACACTCAACGTATTATGAAATTTATTAAACTTGTTCAATAAATTCCATAATACATTGACACTCATGTAAGATCCTCTATGTACTCGTAACGTTACCAATAACTAGTTGTACTCGTGACGTTACCAATAACTAGTTGTACTCGTAACGTTACCAATAACTAGTTGTACTCGTGACGTTACCAATAACTAGTTGTACTCGTAACGTTACCAATAACTAGTCGTACTCGTGACGTTACCAATAACTAGTTGTACTCGTAACGTTACCAATAACTAGTTGTACTCGTGACGTTACCAATAACGAGTTGTACTCGTAACGTTACCAATAACTAGTTGTACTCGTGACGTTACCAATAACTAGTTGTACTCGTAACGTTACCAATAACTAGTTGTACTCGTGACGTTACCAATAACTAGTTGTACTCGTGACGTTACCAATAACTAGTTGTACTCGTAACGTTACCAATAACTAGTCGTACTCGTGACGTTACCAATAACTAGTTGTACTCGTAACGTTACCAATAACTAGTTGTACTCGTGACGTTACCAATAACGAGTTGTACTCGTAACGTTACCAATAACTAGTTGTACTCGTGACGTTACCAATAACTAGTTGTACTTACGGTACTTGTATTAGCTTTGTTACAGACATAGCTAACTATTTAGTGTTGTTGAGTTTACCTAAATGAATGTGATCTTCTCACTCCAACGATAATTAAATGCACTTCCAGTTAAACAAAGTGTAAGCATCATCGGTAGTCGATCACCGAGACTTACTGATGTTTCCTGCATGAGGGAAAATCAACGACATCGGAAGTCGATCACCGAGACTTACTGATGTTTCCTGCATGAGGGAAAATCAACGACATCGGAAGTCGATCACCGAGACTTACTGATGTTTCCTGCATGAGGGAAAATCAACGACATCGGAAGTCGATCACGGAGACTTACTGATGTTTCTCCCACCTCAGCCCATGTAGGATAGACATGTCCTATGTGGAACACCCATGGAGGATAAATCTATCCCACATGACTGCACTCGGTGACCTCAGTCGGCTATCACAACTTACTCAAACCGACGAGTGGATGCTTTGTTTGCAGGCTCCGTAATGCGCGACTGTAACATCACAGTTAACATTAACTATAACAATCCTTGTCCAGTGAACACAAATAAACGTCGGAGGATCATCTATGACTGATTCTGAATGAACACACGCTTGACACTCGCACCATTGCAATTTTTCGCGCGCATAAACAATTGACGTCATTATAAACTGGGAAATCCCGTTTTTGTCCATGACATCGCGGCAAGCCTACCCTGCCTTAATAAATGATACAGAGTTAAATGTTGTTCAATACAAGTATTTCCATGTATCTATCTCTAATTAAAATATTTAATTTCCACAAAATTAATATTTCTAATGGTTATTCATATTGCGTTTGTAGTCTGTCATTTTTGCTCTCGCGGAAGAATGTAGAATTTTGGAAACATGAATGGTGATATTCATGCGCCATTCAGACACTTGTACCGTGGATTTTTTTTTTTTTTTACGTCGTGGCAGAAATAATGGAGTGGGAGAAAAATAATCAACTCCTACCCTTAGAGGATGTGACAGAGAAATCTCCAACCCTCGGACAGAGCCTCGGGTTAGACAACAACAAAAATCACCCCTCGGGTTGGATATTTCTCTATCACACCCTCAGGGT